AGCAGACAGACTGCTTTCACCCAAGACCATCTATTTAAGGACTCTATTCTAAAATCCTGCTTTTAAGGGTAGCTGCCTTTCACTCAATCCTGCTGACAACCTAATACAACACAGAAGAGACACTGCCACTGTCCCTTTAAAAAGGGACACAAGTGGGGTATTTTCTTTTTTTTTTTTAATTTAAAAAAAAATAAAGGAGATTAAGATAAAAGAGGACACAATAACACAGGTCAGAACAGAACGATTTAAGCAACATAGTGTTTCACGAGAAGACAACCAGACGTAACAGTAGTTACCATAGTGTCTCCTTGAAATATTTGAGTATACCTTTATATACTGTAACATCAAACATAACAAAACAGTGTAAAACCATTCAAGAGGATGACAGTATTACAGGGTATTTAGAACCAACAGAAAACGAACAATGGTCCATAAAAAATTTTCTTTATACTATCACATATAATAAAACCCAGTAAGATACAACATGGTAAAACTGATGAAGACAGAAGAACAAAAGCTTGATGGGACTTCAAAACAAGCTGATATTAAATCAGCACTAGCTATTATAATGTCTTGTTTTCTTCAAAATAACTGTTCATACCATCACTGGTGGGGTATTTTCTGAGTGTTTCCTATGTGCTACACGTCCTGCTAACCAGGCCTCAGCTCATTTACTCCTCAGAAGGAGGACACTGATTGCTTCCTGTCACATATGAGGACTGCAGCTTGTAGGGGAAAACAAAACAGCTTTTCCATCTCTTCTGCTACGTTCTTGGCCAGGGCCTCATTAACAAGAAAGACTAGTAGGATCAAAATGTCCAGATTTATTTAAAATAATTTTCACACGACATGGGAGACTTTCTAAGAAAATGAAGACTCCAGGAAACAGCTAGATCTGAGTGTTTTTATTCTAAGTATGATGGGGAGTGGAAAGCATTTGGAAACTGATAGGAAAGCAGGTAAGAGGAAAGCGCAGTTAACCAGGGAAATTTAGCCAGGCCCGTGCTGTCACTTTTCTCTCTGGTCCCTCCACCTTTGGAGATAAGGAGGCTCCTTTCCCCCAGGTATGAAGGCCTTGTGGCCTGCTTCAGGGTAGGAGAACAGGGGAAAGTCAGAGACTCTTTCTTGCCATTTCTCAGGTCCCTTCAGCTGACACTTGTCACTATACTGTGTTGCCATATTTCAGGGAAGTATGTCCAGATCCCCAACCAAGTTTCACGAGATTAAATACCCAGCCTGATAGCACACCGTAAAGGATGTTGTCTGGATATAACTGAGGTCTTACTACAGAATAGGACAGTTTATTAGCCATTCTGCCTCTCATTAGGCAGGGTGTTTTATTCTAGCATTGTCTAACTTCGACCATCATTGGCCTAGTGATTTTATCATTATTCAGAGGTACAGAAACAGGTTCAGAGAGGTGGCAAGGGCTGAAATGACACAATTAATAATCAGTACCATTTCTTTGTAAGTGTACTGGCAGGAAACAGTACTCAGACTACTGATCGTCTAATCACTATGATAATACATGCAAACTCAGTTTGACCAAAATAGTGGTGACACACTAGCAAAAGCTTCTGAAGTGAGTGACAGGCATGAAAGGATTAAGAGTTAGTCACTTCTTAAAAAGTGACCTCATTTGAAACAAGAGGAGAAACAGGCAGCCAGCCTCTTATTCCAGCCTATCTGCAGAGTCCATCCCCACCTCACACCAAAGCAACTCTGGACACAACCAACACGCTCCACATACAGTAAAGTCAGAAGGACAGGCTCGAGAAGTTTTCTGGTTGCTTCCATGTCCAAATATTTTGTCTTTTTATTTAATGAGGTTATTTAGAGGTTCTGTTCTCAGCAGAATCAAAGAATTCAAGCAGATTCATTGGACCTCATTTTGCCTCTTCCGATCAAAATATTCCCCCTAAAAACATCTTGTAACTCTCTCTTCAACTTTTACCAAGTGATCACTAAACCATAATCTGAGACTCTAAGACAAGTTACAGACAGCACCATCAGCTTGTCAAAGAAATAATGTAATAATAAACCTGACCAAAAAAGTCAAAATTACAATAAAGTACAAATCTCAATTCAGTCCTTCTCTCTCAATTTCATGTTTTAAAAAAGTTACTAACAAACCCCCATAAATTATTTTACAATGTATTAACTACTACTTGAAGCAAAAATTACTGATATTTGTTTTAGTTTAGCACAAGAGCTAAGTAATCTTAAGCTTAGACTCATTAGAGCAAACAATCCAGTTTGCACAAACTGGTAAGGGACACTAAATGTGCTTAAAACTGCAAAATGATTGTAAAGCCACATCAAACACAAAATCCTTTTCTAAAATATTACATCTAGTTTAATCTTAAAGAAGACTGCACAGCAGCTAGTCTCCTGAGGAAATATATAATTAAGTAGTTTTTTAGCATATTTAATTAGACCCCAAACTCTTCCCTGTCCCTTTCTCTCCCCCAATTATGTGCCAATTTGCCCAAGAGACCTAAGCAACTCAGTTAATTATGTAAATAAGGCAAGCATTATTCCCAAGAAAAGCATTGTGAATATCTGTAGGGAAAAAAATACATATGTGTGTGTGTGTGTGTGTGTGTGTGTGTGTGTGTGTGTGTGTTTGGTGGCTTTAACAAATCTTTTCCAAAAAAAAAAAATGTGTGTGTGTGTGTATCAAAATACTACATAAAAAATCCTTGTGTTCAAAGCAAAAAGCATGGAGTGCCAGCGACAAGATGGTGAATCATTAAAACAGGACATTCATTTCTTAAATATGAGTTGAATAAAAATAAAATAATTTTAAATTACAACAGTAACAAAAATTTAGTGCTGAATGTCAAATGATTTATAGGAAGAATCAATCTGGAAATTATTAAAGTCGACTTGCTGGAAAAGGCTTTATTATCAAGAGGTTGACATGATCTTAACTCTAGAGGCAGCCATGGTATGTTACAACTACTACAATCCCATTATTATGCAATCACAAAATGCTAATTTGATCATTTTGAGGTGTTATTTGAATAGTCATTTTAATTTCTAGGTTACAAAAAGGCTTGACTCAAGTATAATTCTCTATTAATCACTGAACTGTCATTGAATATCATATTGATGCATTTCACAAAGATAAAGAAAGACTAATTAAATATGTAGAGTACAATATCCTTCAAATATTAGCCAGTTTCATTACATATCTGCCAAACGCATCAATATTACATAATAGATGAGAACAAGAGTTTAATTGTATTTTAGCAATTGTAATATGTAAGATAATAAAACTGCATCGTATAAGATAGATTTATCGATACATAAATCTTTCTTAATCAATGTGTAATGGTGACTGCTCCATGTTTACATCCTTTGCAGATTACAAAAAGATTTGCTATGACAAAAGCACAGAATTTTAATGTAAACACACATCTAACAAAAAAATTCCTGTGACTGAGGAAATGAAAATATAAAATTTATATTTGTTTAAAAAATTTCTCCCTGGCACTACAGAAGTTAGAAGAACAAAGCAAGAGTTCACAACCTTCTGACAAATCAAAACCAAAGTTATTAATAATAAAATCTAATGATATAAGGAAAATTCTAGAATGTAATATTTTAAAAGGGCTGTGTTATTTTGTTGGCACACTGCACAATAATTGTGTGGCATTACCACACAATAACTATTCTAGTAATTTATATGCTTAAACAATGAGATGGTATCAGTCAATAAAAGCAAAAGGCAGTGTATCCTAACCCCAACAATTAACTTCTACCTAAATGAATCAATTGTAATACATATTTTTTAATTCTCTGCAGTCTGACTCCAAGCCCCTGGGGGAAGCTTCCTTCTCTCTTGCTTTGTTCTACAGAAGGGCAGGAGAAGGCAGCACAGGCAGGCTGAAAAGAAGCTTCAGAGCAATGTAAATCTGTAATTTACTAAAAGCCTTTTCAGATGTTTTCTGGAGGAAATTCCTGAGCACAGGATCTTCATGTTTTCTCTGTTTTTGCTTCTAGTTCTTGCTCCTTCCCCATAAACATCAACCTTTCCATATATGTTTACTTCAGCCTCTGGAAGCAGGCTAAATTGAATGAGGTAAAAATGTTTAGAAGAGAAAATATCTCTTCGCTTAAAGATGACAAACTGACAGAACTAGCACATGAATAAGAAAAATGCAAACATAAGCAAAGAGCTGTGTGCTTATTAATTGCAATGGTGTTGAAATAAGACAAATTGTACAGGACCCCTCTAGGCAAGAAGCGATCACTCAAGCACCCACACACCACTGCCAGGCAGCAAACATAATGGCAGTAAGTATAAAAATCAACCGCTACTGTCTCCTGAAAAGAGCCCCACTCATCTCAGCCCAGAGACACAGACCAGGAGTGAGTGGGGGAAGGGCTTGCTGCACGTGGAGCAAGGCTCCTCCTGGAACAGTGACCATCTTCCTAAGAGCAAAAGGAATCTAATTTTGTAACAACAAATTATTGGAATAAACAGGAGAAAAATAAAATCATCCTCTACTGTGCGTGTCAAACAAGAATCCTCCCAATATGAAATTCTGAAATGTGAAAGGAAGTTTAAACCTCAACAATTTCTGCAGTCACAAAAATTAAACAAAATAATGCAAATTGCCTTCCAGAATGATGTTCAAGGATTTCCCAATGCAATCAAGGCCATGATTAATCACAATCCAACTGGCCAAATCTCTCAAATATAAATAAAATAAATAAATATGTAGTTCTCCCTCTCTTAAAAATACATAGCATCGTTAAGTACAGAGATAGACACAGAGAGAGCTCAGGATTGTTTTGTTTTAATCCTCCCAAACATAATACTGTGAAAACCACACTGAGCACAAATTCTTACCTTTTCATACCTACAGTTTTAAAAAACACGAGTGATGTTCTACAATTACTGAGGCACTTTTAAATCCTAAATCCAACAACGAATACTTTCACTCAATTGTCATTATTTAAAGGGACAAAGTCTCATTTTTTAAACTTACCTTGCCATCAAATTTGGAATACTCATTAAAGGGATTATTCAGCTGCAGAGGGCACTGCTCCAGGCGGACAGATAATATAGACTGCTTTCCAGAACTTGGAGGTTTCTCTTTGAGAGATTTTTTTTGAAACAGTGACTTTAACTCCTGGGCTGTGACACAAGAAGGAGACAAAAACATCTCTGTGATTATACATAGAGAGACAGTTTGTCCACTTCTTTACAATGTCTTTCTTGGAATCTGAAGGAGAGAGGATCCAGGCCATGCTCAGATCTGATGTGTGTAAAAGGCCTCACACATATTCCAGTGTTTGTACTGAGAGGGCACAGGACTGAATAACATACTGGACAGGATTGTCAAGTTAGGATAACTAGGGTTCAAAGGAAGAAAGAAAGAGTTTCACACAGCAACAGAACAGTCATTCTATAGGAAAGTATTCAGTTAGGATGCCTGAGTTTTGGCCTGGCTTTGCCACCAACGGTTAGCTATGTGATCCTAAACGATTTACTCTACTTTTTAGGGCTTTTCAAACCAGGTAACATTGAAGATCTCTCCTAGCTCTAATATCATGTAGCTTTGGAATTCTGCTTCTTTGATGTCAAACTCCTCATCCTTACTCTTTCATACTCTCCAAGTACATTTATCATAAAATATAGAGGACAAAGATACAAGGAAAAAGTGAAAGGATATTTACAGTATAGTAGGCAGTATATTTACTGTTAATTCCAACGTATCTCACTTAATCCTCAAAACAAACCTATGAGGTAAATTTGGGCATTAAATCAATTTTGTCAATATGGAAACAAGCTTAAATATTTTAATTTGCGGGGCTGGGGATTTAGCTCAGTGGCATAAGCACCTGCCTTGCAAGCAGGCAGTGGTGAGTTCGATCCCTGGTACTGATTTAAAAAAAAATTTTATTTTAATTTGCTATAGGCCACACGGTTAGCAAGCAACATACCTAGAATTTGCACTCTTTCAAGGTTATTAGCCACTAGGCATTAATGAACAAATCATATCCTCGATAAATTTTGTTGCATGAATATATGAATAAAATAATAAATTCTGATTATGATTATCAGAATCAACACTTATTCATTAGTGAATTAAGTTCCACATCTCTAAAAGATCATTTAATTCTCTAATTAATCAATAAAGGTAGATCATAAGTACATAGGGCTTATTTTTTTTTATTTTGTGAATATTAGAAACTGTCTAAACTTACAACTTTTTAAATAAATCTGAGATTTTAAAATCCACAATAAGGAGGTTCAGCCCCATTTCACTTTTGAGCACAGACAAATTAAACTGAAAGATCAAGAGAACTCTAAAACTCAGAACTTTCTAAACATGTAACTATCTTTTTAACAGATTGGTGAATCAAATTTATTGAATGACACACTATAGGTTTAATTAGAAAATCAGAAGACAGATCAGAAGAAGACACAGTAGCCTCTCTACCCATGGAGAAAGTATTCAAGACCTCAGGGGAGGCCTAAAACCATGCACACAGCACTAGGCCTAAGTACACAGTGATGCACCACACTGTGACGTTTCCTGTCTACAGTGGAATGCGAGCATCCCGGTGGCTCCAGATGATTACGCCACCCTGTGATGCAGAGCCACCTTAATTTGTGTACATTTTGTATTTGGCAACAAAACTGTCTAACAACACACTTCATTTAATGTGTCTCAGAAGGCCACACTGTTTTTTCCCTCACATACATGATATAATATTTAATTTACAAATTAGGCTTGTAAAAGATTAACAAAATGTGAGCCAAGTTAAACTGCTCCTTAAAAAAATAACATTAATAGTAAAATGAAACAATTTTAGCACTATCCTTCAATAAAGTTATTTAAAGCTTAGGAATTGTTTATTTCTAGAATTTTTCATTTAATCTTTCCAGACTGAGGTGGACTATAGGTAACTGAAACTATGGAAAGCAAAATTGCAAGTTAGGATGGACTACTATATCTAATTGTTTTTAGAAATGTTATAGCTGACTACAAATTGCAGATTCTGAACAAGCAAATTAAAACAACACACTTAATGTCCATATAAAATTATTTTTTAATCTAATCTAATTAATTTTAATCTAATTAGACTTTAGTGATATTTTAAATAACAGAAATATTTTTCACCAAGTGGGAAATCCCAGCACTTGTGAGGCTGAGGTAAGAGGATTGCTGTAAATTCAAGGCTAGCCTAGGCTACACAGTGAAGGCAAGACCAGCCCAAACTGCATAACAATATCCTGTCTCAAAAAAAGAAGGAAAGGAGCAGAAAGCAAAAGAGAGAAAGAAAAATGAATGGACCAACTTTTCTACCTATAATGTAACAATTTTATGACTACTAAAAGGAATGGTCTTTCTACTATTTAATCTTCAACAAAGGAACCGAAAACATACCCTGGAAGAAAGACTATTTGGTAAATGGTGCTGGAAAAATTGGATATCTTCATGCAGAAGACCAAGTCTAGATCCACAAATCTAACCAGCTACGAAAATAAAAACAAAATGGACCAAAAATCTAAACGTTACAATAGAACCACATAATTTTCTGGGAAATAAAACATGCAAACCTCTTGAAGACAAAGGTGCAGGAAAGGACTTTCTAAACAGAACCCCAGTGGCACAACAAATAACACTGAGAATCAACAAATGGGATCACATCAAATTAAAAAGCTTCTGCACAGCAAAGGAAACAAGCGACAGAGTAAAGAGACAACCTATAGAAGGGGAAAATTTTGCCAGCCATTCCTCAGATAGAGGACTAATATCTGAACTCCCCAAAATAAGAGATCTAGTCAAAAAACAGGTAAATGAAATGAACACACTTATCAGAAGTACAAATAGTAAGTATATACATGAAAAAGTGTCCATCACCACTGGTCATTAGAGAAATGCAAATTAAAACTACACTGAAATTCCATCCTACTCCAGAAAGTATGATAATCATCAAGCAAATCAAATAATAGCAAATGCTGGCAAAGCCAGAGAGGTTGAAAAAGGAAGCCTTCTATGTTGTTGGTGGGAATGTAAACTAGTACAATCACTATGGAAATCAGTATGTAAATTCCTCAAAAAGCTAAAAATAGGTTTTGCATTTGACCCAGCTATTTCTCTTCTAGGAATCTTTCGAAAGTGTTAAAGGCATCATATTACATACAGTGGTACATGCATACCCACGTTTATAACAGGTAAATCTTGGAAGTGGCCGATCTGTCCACTGACACATGAATGGATAAAATAATGTGATATTAATACACAGTGGAGAACTACTCCACCACAGAGAAGGATAAACTTTTGGCAATTTGTCAGTACCCTGAAACAACAATACTAAGTGGAATAAATCAGACACACAAGTTTAAATATCACCTGGTTTCTCTTATGTGACAAGCCCAAAATATAAATGAAGAACAAAATAAAGAATAGATAATAGAAGTAGAACAGATCTTTTTCAAATGGGAAAGAGCAAGAGATAGAGGAGGCAGGAAGGAAAGGAAGAAGGATATGTAAACAAGAATCAGAGAAAAAACAAGAAATAGGACTTTTTCAAGAGGGAAGGGGGATTAAGAGTTGGAGGGAAGCTGGGGATATAGCTCAAAGGCATAAGCACCTGCCTGGCAAGTGCAAGGTCCTGAGTTCAATTCCTGGTACCAAAAAAAATACAAAATAAAAAAGTTAGAGGGAGCAAGGAGAGTTGAGAGGAAAAGAGGACAAAAAAGAATTAAGATGTAGTATACACAAGTACAAACTTCCCATGATAAATGTAATCATTATGTTCTGCAAATACATGCTAATAAAAATGCATTTAGAAAAGGAATGATCTTTTACAAAACACCTATTATGGGCCAGGAACAAAGGTGGTGTTTTCTCACCTTGTGCTCACCACAGTCTACGATATAAGGTACAACTGGCACCCTGAAGAAAGCAACTGTGTTATCACAAACAAGTGACCCAACTGTCATCAGGAGGGTTAGGTGCCAGGCGGTGAAACAATACTTCTATTCTCCAGGTAATACACTTGGACTACCCGACCTCTGACACCATCTTCTCTCTCGCCCCTGCTTCCTTTACAACAGGGAGGGGTGAGAGGGTGGAGGAAGGGTGCAGGTGGCTGGAAACAACCAAAGAGAACTTCTGCTTGCTCTCACCTGAGGCCATGGAGCAAGCACCTATGGTCTCTGTTTCTCAGGCCAGCCACTCCCTGTGTGAGACTTGCCAACCAAAGGATATCACTAGAGCTATTCTCTCCTATTTCTCTGCCATTGTCAACTTTCCCTTTTACTAGTCATGTTAATGCACAAAAACACTGAAACACTGTTCGTCCAAAAGAAGAAAAAAACAAAGAAAGAAAGGAAGAAAGAAAAGAAAGAGAATTCTATTGTTCTCTATCCCCTACTTCTACCTTTTTAAATACTACCCTATTTTTCTGCACCTCAAAATGCTTTGTCTCTATTCTTGTCCAATTCTTCTCATTCCGTTCACTCAAATCTACTCCAAGCACACACCCAGGCCACACCACTCTAATACGGCAACTTGCATCAAGCTTACCAGTGATCCACTGCTGCTAATGTATTGACCAATTCTTTGTCTTATAAGACCTCTTGGCTACATCTGACACCAGCCACCACTCCTTCCTTTTTAAACACTTTCCTCACTTGTTTCTCTGGACTCTGCTTTCTCTGGCTCTTAACCTCCAACTCCCTTGCTATTCCTCTCCACTGCTCCCTGGGTCACTGCCATTCTTGTGAGAGTCAGTGCCTGGCCTCTTTTTTCTTCGGTACCAGGAATCAAACTCATAACCTCAGGCTTGCCAGGCAGGCCCTGTGCGACTGAGCTATATCCCTGGCTCTTCTTTCTCTAATTTACAATCTCCATAATCTCATTCAGCCTTATGCTTTTAAACAGCATCTATAAGAGGTGAAACTAAACTGTGACAACGTAAATAAGAACACTAGTTGCCCCCTGGGGAATGAATGATTTAGAAAGGGGCACCAGGGAACTTTCTGAAACAACAGAACTACTCTTTACTTGGCTGCATATTAGTTACATAGGAGTATGTGTTTGTCAAAAGTAATTGAAATGCACATCTAATGTACACCTCACTAAATGTAAAGTAAATAAATAAAAAATCTAAAGAAGT